GTGCCCCTTTCTGTGCAGAAATGCCAAAAATCAATTACCTCCACGTTGTGCGTGATCAGCCTTTTGCACAGTGTGTGCAAGAATCTATTTTGGGACAACACTTCTGCTCTGACAATGACAGTCTGCCTCCAACGCCGCTCCTGCTGCGTTCCCGCTCCAGGCGCCAAACGCTCTGAGCAGTTCCACCTCATGTCCCTGGAAATGGGCAGTTCCACGTTCCAAGGTGGAACAAATGGCTGTGAGGTCACTGAGGCACTTTGGAATGCCCTGTGCTAGGCCTATTAATCTTCCAGAGCTCATTTTCCATGTCACGAAGTCTTGTCTTTGTTTTCAAGACCATATCCATTTCTGCCCATGTCTGGTCTCCTGGCTGCCATGCTCAGATTATAATTTACTGTTTCAGTTTTTGTCTCCACTAGTTTGTCTCCACTAGTTTGGTTCCTTTCCTCTGCTAGTACTTGCTTGCTCTTCTATACTGCTCTGCTCCAAAACATTTTTATGGTACATACACACACACACACACACACACACACACATTCACATTTCATATATATATATGTGTGTGTGTGTGTGTGTGTAGGTGTGTATGTAAAATACAATCCTCTTTCTTCAAGCCACTTCTCAGTATCTACTAGGTCAGTTTCACTTTTTTGTGATGGTCATTTTCTGGCCAAACCAAGCAAATAAAATATACAAGAAGACAGTGAATGGTAAGAATCTCTTGATTGTCCATATAAGGCACCATTCTGGTCCCTCCTGGTGTCATTTCATATTTAGGGAAGTCTTAACCAGTCCTATAGATGTTGTACCTGTAGGTGTGTCTGTGTGATATTCTCTTGCAATCAAGGTTACCTGTATGAGTTTCTTTTCAAGAATGGTTCTCTGAGACATGGATTTTTATTAGTGTCATAGGTTTACGTGTTCTAAAAAACAAGTGGGAATTTTTCTTTCCCCTGCATCACTGTGAAAGAAAGATGTTGAAGAAGGGAGGGAGAAGGTGGTTTGGCTACGGTGATTCAGACACACAAAAGAATTAGTGAGCAGAGCCTCATTCCAACCTGATGGCCCTCAGAAGACTGGGAGGGATGCCGTGGTGATGAGGTTTTTTTCTCTCCTCGGGAAACAGCAGGCACTTCACTTTTGCCCAGACTCAAGAAGGGTGTGTGTGTAGCAGGGGGGATTCTGTAGTCCATTTTGTTTTCAGCCTGGGTCATCTGGCTGCTCAGACTTCATCGGAAAGGGTTGGCCCACCTGCAGAGAAACCTTTTAGGGAGGAGGCTGCCCCTTCCCTCCTCCGCTCTGGTGCTGGCAGCAGCTAGTGCCCATCAACGACAGGGGGTTGTCCTGGCTGGCAACAGCCAGTGACAGCGTGAGTCTGTGCTCACACTTTCCTTACCTTCAAAAGGACGTAGCAGGGTTTTCTTTTTTGATAAATCTATAAGCAGCAGCTGAGTTTGCTGAGATCTAATACGGCATAGACTTTCCTCTCACTGAATACAGCTTTTTAGGCATAAGTGGGTGTTCTTGGAAAGTTTGTAATGTAGTCACAGTTGGCTTAGCAGTAAGACATAGTAAGTTCCTAGCTGTGCAGTTGTCAGTCACACAGAGGTACAGATTGTCCAGAAACAAGGGCCAATAAGCAGCAAGGAATATAAAACATGGTGATGTCCTCCATTCTGAAATATACTGTAACCTCCATCTTGAAAAATGTGTAGTTTGTCCTTCAGTGACCTTCAGAGCCACCTAAGAAGCACATAATGAGGGACATATAGTAGGTGTGTTGGGAAGTCTTTAACCACCTGAGGATCTCAGACAATGGAGAAATGTGGAGGGACCAGCGCTCCAGGCAAAAGGGATAAAATAGGCTGAGACCTCCACCAAGCTGAGAGGCCTAACTGTGATTTGTTCAGTGAACTCTCATAATTAGCTCCTCTGTCTCTCAGCTATTTATGTAGCTCTCAGCACCTGGATTTTCCAAATAGAATGAAGTTGTAGTTTGGTCTGGGCAGGCTCTCGATAAAGAAAAACAGTTCTGTTTGGGGACACAAATGACAACATCCTGCAGTCGCTCAGGGGATGATAAAAACATGCCTCGTTCCATGGAGAAAACTCTGCCATAGCCCCACTGCTGTGTGAAAAAAAAAAAAAAAAAAGGCACTTCTGGTCTTCAGAGAAGTTGCTTTGTTTCCCAGCTATAAGTGTGGAAGGTTAGATCCAAGCAATGCAGAGCCTTCTGAGCTCATACAGTTGTTGTTAACAAGGATGTAAAGCAACTTTCTAGCAACTCTTAACTTGCTGGATTGGTGACTTTTTCATTGCAAACTTTAGAAGACTCTTCTGATTTAGGTGGCTTTGGAATAGGGTGTTGTTTTTTTTCTGGTTTCTTTTTTGGGGATCTGGACCAAAATGACAGCCTGAAACACGCAGGCCTAATAATTATGTGGACATTACCCATCCTAAAGAAAGTTTACAGGCACAGTGAAATGGGGCCCAGAACAAGGATCTCTGCTTGTGAAACCCCTCTGCCTGCACTGGACAGCAGCATGTTGCAATCTCTGACAAGCAGCAGCAGGACAGAACATCAGGGCGAGAGGAGGCACCACTGCGGCAGAATTCACCCCTCACTCCCCACAGCAGCCTTTATTCTGCTGCTTCCTTGAAGAGGGGTAGGAGCACCCCCTGCCTCCAGGCAAAAAAGACACCAAAGTCTCAGCATTTAAGAGTTAACATTTTATTGGACTTCAGTTGATGGAGAACAGAAGGGCAACAATGGCTCAGGTGTTCAATCACAAAACACACCAAGAAGTGTCACGTACTGGGGCTTAACACAGTTTGCAGGGAGACAATTGAGGAAGTTGCTTTTAAACTATTCTCCAAGGAAGAAAGGGGGATCCGCAACCCTGTTGTAATGTTTTATTGTTCCCAATTACTGTCTGCCCTCAGTCAGTTTCCTAAAAAGAAGCTTAGGACACACCTCTCCCCCATGAGTTAAAGAAATCAAGTGGTAGTAAACTCAGGGGAAAGAACTAGACTAGAGTCACCATAGGTCTGTGCAGGAATCAACATTTGTGTCTCTAGAAAGACTGGTTATGACAGACTATTTTTAACAAAGCCAACAAATTGGCCAAGTTTCTACTGTGACACTTTAACCCAATTTCTGTATAAAACCTGTTGAAGTACTTTGCCCCAACACGTGTCTATAATAATGGCCAGTCTTCGCGAGCGAAGATCCGGGGAAGGTCTTTACACCTTCCAGCCTGCGCATTGGATTTTTTAGGTGAGACACAGTGTGTGCGGAACTGAGCCCACCCTTTAATCCTAAGGTTCATCTGCCGGGGCCAAGCGAGCTTGGACGGTGGCAGCGAGGTCCTCAGGATGTAGATGGATTACCTTTTTACAGGGTTAACGAGCTCCATCAGCCCGGGAGTGTCCCTGACCGGGAATCGAACCCGGGTCTCGGCGGTGACAGCGCCGCGCCCTTAACCACTAGACCACCAGGGGCTCCCAACACGTGTCTATGTGTTTTACAAATCACTTCCAAAGGATCTGGATATTACTTGGCTCACTGACAAGAGGAACCCAAGACTTTAAAGCAGGCCTGTGAGCTGCTTCAACTGACAGTGCAGAGCAGCCCAAATGCTGCCTCTTTAACCCTTCATAACACAATGATTTCTGGGGAGTTTGCCCAAATTTCTACAGGTTCTATAGCGCCAAGGCCAAGAGTTTGTATAAACCAGAAAGGCCAGAAAACAGGCTTTTACACACTTATCCTAAAGTATGACAATTTGCTACAATATTTTCCTAAATTATGGACAACTTTTTAGCAGAGGTACTGGGTCTCAACCATCTAAGGAAAAAATTCTTTCAATGGACAACCTGAGTCTTGAAGAAAAGGACAGACCAGGAAAAAGCAGCTTCAAATATTTTAGAAGCAACAACAGCACCACAAGGAGTTAACAATACTGAAACTTCTTTAATGCAAATGTGAAATACTTTCTTACATACTGTTAGAGGAAGTGGATCTTGTTTTTTAAATAAACAATATGCTGTTCAATACTAACTTATATAATCTTACAGAAAATTATCTTCAGTCTTAAATAAATAAGCAACTGTTAAATACTAAGATAAAAATCCTAGTGAAAGTAATCTTCAGTTTCAAAAAATAAGCCAAGCACATAGATATGTATAGGCAGAGGTAGACAACTGGTGCCAGGAGTCCTCTTGCTCTTCGTCAAATTCCTGTTTTAGTCTCTTAATGCTAGACAGCTTGTTGTGCAGACACTGACATCCTCTCCATCAGAGGAATTGGGGCTACCCTAAAAAGTTAAGGTGAAAAGAAAAGTAGGGCATGCAAACATTTCTGGAGAGTTTAGCATTCCATGTCCTGGAGGGATGCATGGAGAGAGGGAGTATGACTTGGCCTAATGTTCATGTTTGGCTGAAGATGTTGCACGTATTTATTAGGCAAGGATATATGTATACATTCCATTCCTCAGAAGTCATCTTAATATGCATAAGTTGCTGGGGTCTGCACACTGAGTCTCAGAGGGTCTTCTTGGGGGTCTTTAGGCACCCCAGTGGGATTGCTGAGCATTTGGACTTTGCTTGAACCTTCATTGTAATCTCCCACACAAGGTGTTATTTTCGCTTCGGTTCTGTGAGCTGCACGAGATGTTTCTGAGCAAACTGGGCTGGACCATTTGGGCATGTTACAGAGGCAGCGACAGAGCTCTCAAGGTGCCACTAACTGTGAGTTCCTCTAAGCAATTTAGCCCAAAAAGGTCAGGGCAGCCCCAGGGCAGCTGCCCACATCCTGTGGGCCGAGGTTGTCCTTAGCCATGGATTCTGCAGGTGCCAGGCATGGCTGTGCAGCCACATGATCTTGCTGGTGATGTTGAGTCTGGAAAGCGCTGGTGTCACAAAAGGGCTCCTGCCAAATAACCCTATAAAAGCTGGGCAGCTGCACCCACCCCTCGGCCACAATCACCATGACCCGCTACCGGTGCAGGTCTCGCAGGGGTCGCAGCTGCAGCCGGAGCTGCCACTCCCGTCATCGAGGCGTGCGAAGGAGATGACAGACTCGTCTCTGAAGCCACCGGGGTGGCAGGAGGTGCAGACACCGCTGAGCTGAGCTCTCGGCCTTACAGAGCCAGAGTGCCCAGAGGGCAGCCCTGACGCTGGCCTGGCTCTGCCAATAAAGCACAGCAAGCTACCATCAGATGAAGGTGTCAGTGTCCCTGGTGTCCCTGTGCACCGGCTCAGGATGTGCCCGGGGCCGCATCTCTCTCCCCGCCCGGGCTTTCCCTGGTTCAGGAGACCTCCCAGGAATAGAGTCCAGGAACTGCCCCTGTAACATCAAAGAGACAGCTGCAAAACCATCATCCACCTGCTAAGCTGCCCACTATTCTTTCCTGAGTCTCTTATGGTATCCTAGTTCATTTTGATCCTGATAGGAACAGGAGCTGGACAAGATCCTAAACTGACCAGAAATCTTTGTGGGGGAGAGCATCTGACACCTTCCTGTTGTGGAGATGTGTCTGGGAGTTTATTAAAGGGGAAATGGTGGGGAGAGTATCACTTGGGAGGTGAAGTACACTGCTCTCTTCTCAGATTTCAATTCACTTGATATCTGAAAATACAGATAAAATTATTATCTACACCACGCAGCACCCGCCCACACCAAAAAACCAAATGGAAATCTAAACAAACAACCAAGTGGAGAAGTAAAAAGCAAAAACCTCTCTGAAAGGATGAGCAGAATGTGTGAAGGCAAAACAGAGAGCTCGGAGGAGAAGGGCAATATATGACCAGTCCTCTAAAAGAATGAACTCTCCAAGGCCCTCAGACAGACATTTTTCCTCCTACTTTCTTGTCTTTGTGCAGACTCTGCTTTACCACTTGCTGCACACACTGTAATTGGTGAAAATTTCAAGACCTACATCTGGGGGCATTTTGAAGAAATCATTGATGGCTGCTCTCCATACCGTGCTGGTCCCTGAGATGTTATTATTTATATAATAACGAGTCATGCTAATTGTCTCAGTTTAATAAGACTGAAGTGTTTTGCTAAGAAGGATGAGTTACAAGAAAGACCAAGCATGAATGTTAGGAGGAATCACCCCCCCATGCATCCAGTGCTGCAACAAATTAATGCTGCTTCTTAATACTATATTGGTGTTAAGGAGTTTTATTTCCAGTTTCAGTGACACTTGCATGACTATGCCCATGTTCTAGTGAGTGCACCAGACATCTCCTGGGCACAGGAGACGCAAGAGGTTTGACCAGGCATGGCCATGCAGCTACTGTGATCTTGCTAGTGATGCTGGCTCTGGAAAGTGTGGGTGTCACAAAGGGCTCCTGCCTGTCACCCTATAAAAGCCAGGCAGCTGGCCCCAGTCCTTGGCCACAACCACCATGCCCTGCCACTACCGGAGATCTCGCAGGAGCCGCAGCCGCAGCCGCAGCCGCCGCCGCTCCCGTCGCCGTGGCGTGCGGAAGAGACGTCGGGCTGGATCCCGCCGATATCGCCGGCGTCGCTCCCGTGGCAGGAGGCGCAGACGCCGCTACCGCTGAGCTGAGAGCATTGGTCATAATGCGGCCCTGGCTCTGCCAATAAAGCACAGCAAGCTCATGTGAGGGCATGAATGTCCCTGGTGTCCCTGTGTGCTGGCTGTGGGTCCCTGGCTCAGGAGAGTCCCTGTACCCAAAGCTGCAGTGCTCTGCTATGGATCGTGCCTCTTAAAGAGGGGACCCTATTCCATGAGCCCATGAGACCCAGATTGCTCAAAAGCTTTCTTTTTCCTTACTGTACATTTTCCAAGAGTGGCACTTCCAGTGTTCTTTCTGTGAAAAGCCTTCTGGAGGCAAAAAGGTGTGGGGAGGAATGTCAGTAATCAATCACCCATTGTGGAACTTCCCACCCTGCGGCATTCCTGCCCAAACCTGAGTGTATATAATCTTGGGGTCTTGAGACTTCTGGTACTACTCATGGGATTCAGAGGAGAACCAGAACCTCGACCGGACTGAGACCACCTCTCTCAACCAGACTGTGAGCACCACTCTCAGCCAGACCAATCTTCAAGCAACTAAAGAATCTTCTGCATCTTTGTCCCCTCTTTCTTTTGGTTTCCATAATGTTGTTCCAAGTTTGTCCCACATCTCAGGGACAAAGTCTTTCCTTTTATCATGCCACTTTGCCAATGATGTTTATCATATGTGTGGCCATATTGTTCTATGATTGATTTAAATGGGCAGTATACTTCTTTCTCACTCCAGGACAAGTAAGCTCCCATGGATGGGGAGGGGAAATCACAGGGAAAGATGATTTTTGCCCACAGCTGCTCACCGTCTTCAATGCATGGATCTCCCCGCCTGAAAGCCTGTATCCTCTATCCAGCTGGGGGAGCTGCCAGAGCACGCTACCTCTAGCAATGCCCATGCCCATGAAAGCAGGGGAGTTCCTTCAATACGAAGGACCTACAACCTTGCCCTGAACTTGGGTACCATTTGTCACAGCTTGAAGGAAAGTGACAGCTCACTCAGGGTTTGTCAGGGTGAGTAAGTCCTTTATGAAAATAACTTCCCCCTTTATATAGGGGGAGAGCAGAACATTCTGGAACTGGGGATGTTTATATTTCATAAAAGGAGAAAGAAGGAGGGAGCTATCTTTAATAGGAAAACTATGGGAAGGGCTACAAACATAAGGTAATGAGGGGAAAGGTAAAGTCTTAAATGGTAAATCTGCACTGCGGCAGTTGTTAACCAATGAGAAACTAGGGATATAACATGAGGGAGAACATGAGGGAAAACAACTATGAATATATGGATACAACATAGTAAACATGCATTAACAATAAATGTTAAAAATCTCAAGTCAATTATCTAAGTCCACTGAATCTGTATTACAGAGTGCTTTTTTCTGCTAGGATCTTATCCAAGTTCTCTTGCAGTCTTCGTCTCCAATGCTGAAACATTTTTTCCTCATCCTGGCCAACACTCACAGCCTGTCTTGTCTGTTCTGGTACTTCTTGTTTCCCAGCATGCCAGGATATCCCCAGATATTTTACACTCATAGCTGGCCCCTGTATCTTTTTGGGGTTGACAGCCCACCCATCTTTTTTCAGTATGTCTACTACTTTCTTGACAGCATCACCTGTCTCTTGTTCTGTATTGCATGAGTTAGTATGTCATCTACATACTGTACAATCTGGATTGAGGGGTTCAGTTTTGGAAGCTGCTTCAGGGTTCGATGTATGGCCTGGTGACAATAGGTTAGACTGTGTTGATACTCTTGTGGGAACCACGTGAAGGTGTATTGAATACCCATCCAGGTAAAGGCAAATTGATCCTGTGCTGCCTGTGGTATGGGAATGGTAAAAAAGGCATTAGTTACATCTATTACTGTATACCAATCACCTGGGTGTTTTTGGATCTCATAAACTAAATCTGTAAAAGCAGGTACAGCAGCTATAATTGGTGGAGTGACTTTAGCACCCCGATAATCTACGGTCATTCACCATGACCCATCTGATTTTTTTACAGGCCATATGGGGGAGTTAAATGGAGAATGAGTGTACCTCACCACTTGTTCCTCAAGTAGTTCCTGGACTGTTGTTCCTGGAATCTTATACTGTTTAAAGTTGACAATTTGTGTACAAATAGGAATGTTTGCCTCTTCCTGTATCTTCCCTACTTGTATGGCTCGAATGTGCCACCGCGTGGACCCAAATGACCACAGGGTGTTGTCAATCCATAAGTTCATTCCTCTAATAATATCAATCCCTATTATATATTCAAATATTTTTGCTACCATTACTCTGTAAGGTTTTGGTGGATTGTCTGCTATTTGTAGTGTTATTGTGAGCATATGCCTGTGAACTGTCTGTTCTCCAAGGCCCCATATGGGTGCTGGGTCCCCCTTACGTTTGTCAGGATTGCCTTGAGTAATAGTGACCTCTGCCCCAGTATCAATTAATGCTCGTACAGTTTGTTTGTTCTTTGTGGACCAACGTATTGTACAAGTGATTAAAGGCTGTTGATTCTTACGAACAGGGCAAACACAAGGGGACTGCACTGGGGCTTGGCCACACTCCTATTCAAGTTTATGGTGCCCCTCGTACGGAGGAGCGTTAGCCTTTGCTGGCTCAAACCTTGAAAATACTGGATCTGCATTAAGAAACCGATTGACTGCCTCCTGCATCTCAACCCAGGGATATGTCTTTTCTTGTTTTGTAGCTCTTCTAATTTGGTGCTGTTGGGTTAATCTCCATAATGTTTCTATTGGCTGCCCATCAGTATCTTTTTTGGAAACCCCTTTTTTAATAAACCTTGAAATAACTTAGTTCATTCTCTTGTAATGGCTAGAATAGGCTGAAGCCAGTTAATGGTTCCTAATAGTCACTGTAAATCATTTAGTGTCACAGTGTCAGTTACCTTACGAGTCAATGGCTGTAGCACAATCTCCTGCTGTGTGATCTTCCATCCAAGGTAAGCCCAGGGTTGAGTGCACTTTTCTGTATCTTTTCTGGAGTAATCTGCAGCCCTGCTTCTCAAACAGCATTGGTTAGAGCAGTCATTATCTATTGTAACTCAATCTCTTGGGTGGCAGCCACTAATATATCGTCCATATAGTGATACATGACAGCTGATGGGTAAAGCTTCCAAACAGGGTGTATTGTGTTAGCTACCACTGTTTGGCAAATGGTTGGACTGTTGTGCATACGTTGTGGTAATATAACCCAGTGATATCTCTGCATAGGCTCAGTGTGATTTAAAGTAGGGATGGAGAAGGCGAAGTGAGGGGCATCATCCAGATGCAGAAAGATAGTGAAGAAACAGTCCTTCTGGGCAATCACTAATAGAGGTCATCCAGCAGGGAGCATGGCAGGTGAAGGAAGCCCTGGCTGCAAAGCACCCATTTGACTGTATTAATTGCCCTTAGATTATGCAACATAAGCTATTTGCCACTCTTTTTAGGGATACAGAACACAGGGGTATTTCATGGGCTAGAAGTCAGTATTATGTGTCCAGCATTCAACTGTTCCTTCACCAGGCTTTGTAGGTGTACCAGCCATTCCCTTTTTAGGGGTCATTGATTGACCTAGATGGGGTCATCTGTTTTTGATTGCAGTTTTATAGTTCTGTGGAACGGTTGATCAGTGATCCCCACGAAAAAGCCTGAGCATTTTTTGTTGTAATCTGCATAACTGTTCCCAATTGTCCTAAGACATACTGTCTCCATAAGGTACATGGTAGGGAAACTATAAAGGGAGAAATCTGGGCAGTCTGTTCCTCTGGCCCAATACTGTGCACAGATGCGTGCTGTGGTTGGGCCTCTGCATGCCACCTACCCCCAGAATGGTCAAGGCAGGGAAAACTGTGGGCCAGTCAGAAGGCCACTCTGTGTCTTTAATTATGGACATGTCTGCACCGGTGTCCACTAGGCCCTTGAATCTGCTCCCATCAATACATCATAGGCTGAGAGGCAGAGATTGTCTTGGCCCAAAAGATAGGGGGCTTGCCCGTGTTTCCAAATGCCCTGGTGCCTCTCTTGCCCTTGCCCGGGGGGTGAAGTACTATAGAAAGGAAGTAACTAAGTGAGCTGCTGTCCTTTAGGAATGTGACAAGGTGGCACAGGCATCCAAGCCATGATCTGAATCTCACTATGAGAATCAGAATCAACCACTCTGGGTAGGATGAATAAACCCATCTTTGTGGTAGACAAATAGCCAATTAAGAGGGCATGGACCCCTGCTCCTAGGGGCCCCCATACCCCAGTGGTTAGCAGGACCACTGCAGTGGATGTAAAAGTTATTTTTGGTTGGTGGTTGGTGGTTTGGTGGTTTGGTTGGTGGCCAGGTCCAGACCTGCGCTGTCTGTGGTGGCTATGAGCAAGTCACAGACCAATTGCTGTGAGCCGTATTTATATAACTGGCAGGGGCACATGGCTTTGCACCCCACCTCCTGTTTTCCTGTGGTGTGGGCTCTCCTCTATTGTTGACCCGTGATCGGCATTCACTAGCCCAGTGCTTCCCTCTGCCACATTGGCAGCAATTTGTCAGAAGGAATTTCTTAGGACAATTCTTTACAAAGTGGTTGGGCGCTCCACATCGGAAGCAGCTGTTCCTCCCTTTTGCCCGCTCACGTACTCACAACTCGGTAGCTAAAGCCGTGGCTAGTGAAGCCGTATGATGGTCAGTAGATCCCACATTTTGGCAAGCCCACACCATTTTGGCAACTGTGCAACTCTCTCGCTTAGGAATAAATTGCAAAGCCCATCAGTGTCAGCCCGCAAGTGAAAAGGCAGAGCACTTAAAGACACCAGGGTGAGAACAGTGCAGGGACCTTTATTCAAAATGTCTTCCGCCTTATATAGGGTAGGGTAAGGGAGGTACTAGAAGAAGGGGTGTAATCGGGAGGAGTTGAGGCAGAACATGCAAATTATAACCATGCAGGTAAAACATAACCATGTAAGGAGAACTACTGCATTGCAGCAAACTTAAGCCAATGGGAAAACAGCATTTTAGGGCCATAACAGATAGCGGATAACTGGGGTACAATATAAAGGGATAATACAATAAACAGGATACTACAAATAACTATGAATAAAAGTGTAAAACAGTTCACAAAAGTCCACATCTGCTTGAAAGATGTTCTCTTTTTCAGAGGGATTATAGAGTTCAATGACATCTCATTTTTGTATCCCAACACACTGGTGATCATTATTGGCATTCTTGTAAGCAAGTTGTCTAAAAACCAACTCTCTTGCATCCTCATTCTCGATCTGTCTGCTTAAGGAAGCCTGAAGCTGGTCAAGAAACTGAGTATATGGTTCAGTAGATTCCTGCAAGACCTTAGCAAAGGACAGATTGCTATCTCTATCAGCGCTTGAGAGTTTCTGTACTTCTCTTAACACAAGCTTTGCAATAACTTCATAGATTTTGCAGGGATAATTTACTTGGGATCTGGGTGTTGCATGCACTCCCTTCACCGCTAGATGCACATAAGTCACTCCTGTTTATGAATTCCTCTGGTCATTAGCATAAGCCCTGCAGCTTTCCCGAAAATCCATAAGCCAGACGCTATACTGGGTAATTGTTAACACCATTTTTAACAGTGTTTTCCAGTCATGAGGTGTCAACACAGATGTGCTACTTAATGTCTCTAGGAAGGAAAACACATGGAGAGAGGAAACACCATTCTCTTTAACTATCTGCCTCAGTTCTTTAATAATCTCATATGAGAAGCTTTGAAACTGAGGGAGTTGCCATGGGTGATAAATGACAGGGCATGCATTTACCACCTTCCAATTGCCCACACATAATGCCTCTTCCCAGCACCTTTCCCACATGCCCACGGAAGTACCAATTCCGTGGCATGACCACCTATCCTCATTCAGGTGGACATGACCCACTCCCCCCGTGTCCTCCATAAACTCAC